CAGATATTATAATAATAATAATAATAATAATAATAATAATATAAGTATTCAAATATGTTAATACAGTATTATAATAATAATAATAATAATAATAATAATAATGTTATAAATATTCTATATATATAAATAAAAAATTATTAAATATTTCTTTTACATACATATTTTAATATAAATATAATAAATTAAAATATATATTTAATTAATAATAATTATGAAATATAAAATTATAAATATTTATTTATATATAAAAAATACATAGTAAAATTATTTTATTATAAATGTAATTATGTTTTTCAAATAATATAGATCGGGACGGGGACGAGATGAAACAGGGATGGGGTGGGGGCGGGAACCCGGAACTCAGCGAGGACGGGGATTAAGGGCGAGGACGAGGATGATTAAAAAAGTCGGTGGTGGGAATCGGGGAGGCAATACCTGTCCCCGCCTCGTCCGTTGTTAGGCCTAAAGATGGAAAACTAAAAAGATGTTCAAATCTGTATTTAATGATTCGGACATTGATTGTTTTGAATTAAAGATGTGAGAATTACTCCATGAGAGAATAATGTGAAGTTTTATCAAATAAATAAATATAATGTAGTTTTCATTTAAATGTTTAAAATTTTCAATATAAATAATAGAGATTTAATCAATTTTTACTGTTACATATATGTATTTATTATTATATAATTTTTTTCTTAATTTAATTGTTCTAAAATATAATTTATTAAAATAATATATCAATTTATATTATTAACTTTATATATATATATATATATATATATATATATATTTTGAATTGTTAACAATGATAATTTTATTATTAAATTTATTGAAAGATTTGATTTAAAATGATAAAATAAAATAAGAAATATAACAAGTCGGTTCACCAATCTGCCCTTTAGTGGGCGAGTCGAGACCTGTAGCCCTTTGTCATCCCTAAACAAAGGTGAAAAAAGTGTATCAACCCCTTCAATAAATAAATGGAGTGAAGAAATAAATAAAAAAATGAAGAGAAGAAAAGTATGGTGGTGGTTGAGTGTTGGCACATCACCAGGGATGAGTCATCCTAGATAAGTAATGGTTGTCGTCACTTAAACCAAGATTAAAGATTTATGACAAGTTTGTAAAGTTTCTTAGTGTTCCATATCTTTTGAATTTCATAATTTTTTAAAATATTTATTTATTAAATTATAAAAAAATAATAAATTAAAAAAATATTTAATAATTTGAGGAAAAAAATTGGTTGAAAATTATTTATAAGGTTCGAGGATAACAAAAATTATTGTAATTAAAAAGTGTGCATGGGAAATATGTTATTTTGATGGGCTTTTTTTAAGTATCATGTGTTAGGTAAACTGTAATTAAATATGATATTCATTCTAATGATCAAACATATATCTATAATCACATACTGTAAACATGTTATAAACTAAATGCGAAAGCGTACCTGAATTGGCCATAATGACGATATTCTTTGTAGAGCACTTTTGATTTGATCTTAAGGTCTTCCACCTGAAGAGCACCTGTATTTCCCTCTTGATTTTCTTTTTTGATGGGGATAGAAAGAAAAGAACGGGACTGTAACTTCGTTCTGTCTGTGTGCTCTCAGAAGGGGACCATGACCCTTTATATAACCAAAATTAGGTTAATTACTTAAGTTTTAGTATTTTCAATTTGGCCCCTCATCAAATTAGAAATTACTCTATGGTCTCTACACAATCATATTTTCATGACATATGTCTTTAGCCAAAACTTTAATTTATTTAGATCACTTTATTATTTGGCTTAATAAATAATGACCCTAACACATTTAAATATGTTTCATATATATACATGACCCAAAATTTGCCAACAATCTCCCACTGGTCACAAATATATATGTCTTTACAACCTTACAAATGTGTTAGACTTTATGAGCTCAAAATTGTCATTATATTCCTTTAGCATATTCCAAAAGTCCTGTCCATTAATCATATCAGGATATAGAACCAAACCAGCTTTTCATTGCATCATCGCAACTAAAACCAACAAGATTATTCATCCTGACATAACCAAATGACATGGATTCATCATGAAATATGTAGCATGAAAAATTACGTGAAGGTGATCTGTACACGTCTATTTTCAACTGGTTCAAACTTTAACTTATCGAGATCGATACAATAACCTTAATGTACAAAGTGTAATGAATGAACAAGAAAACCGCATATCTATAGATAACCAAATATGTCCAAAAAAATATTGTATACATATATAAAATTAAACATAGAACATAAAATATATGAAATGACTAACTCCCACTAAACCACAAATTCCTCAAACTGTAAAACACTCATGTGAGCAACATGCTCATGAAAGACCTTGGGCTGAAGTCCTTTAGTTAGAGGATATGCTATCATGGAGTTTGTCCTTAAGTGTTCTATGGAAATCTGTCCACTTTGTACTATTTCCTTAACAATACAGTTGATTTATTGTCACAATATATAACTTAAGTGGTCTTTCAATGCCTTTCACAATTTGCAGCCCTGTGACAAAATTTCTCAGTCATATTCCCTGATTTGATGCCTCATAGCATGCTACAAATTCTTGACATCCTGCAAAATATGAGTCAGAAAATCCAGCGATCTCCAACTGGTCTGACCTCCTGTATGTGAGCATATAATCTTTTGTTCTCTTTAAATATCTTATGACCCTTTTTGCTGCTTTCCAATGGTCTATTCCTGAATTGCTTAAATATCTGCCTAGAACCCCAACTATGTATGTTATGTCTGGACGCGTACATATTTGGGAATACATCAAACTCCCGATAGCTAATGCATGGGGAATCTGTTGCATTTCCTCAATTTTCAAATTCCTCTTTGGGCACTAATTTAGACTAAACTTGTCTTCCTTAGTAACTGGAGTATCCCCGGCTCATGACGCACAGGTTCTTGAGGATCTTGAGTTTAGTCTTGACGAACAATCAAATCATCTTGAATATGGGATTTATCATCAATGTCTTGTGAAGGTTCCGAACTTACTTTATCAAAAGTAATTGTTTGAATCGGTTCTGGATTTATTGTCGATTCTTCCTCCAATACAAAATTCTTAATCTTATTCTTCCCTCCAAACTCAATATCCTCAAAGAACATAACAGTTCCCATCTCAAAAAATGTCTTTAATGTGGGATCATAAATTTATATCCTCTGGCTCTCTCAGAATAACCAATGAAGTAACTACTTACTGTTCGGGAGTCCAATTTTAGTTTAATACCACGAGATTCTGTATTAAGAGTTGCATTATAGGTGACCACAGTATCAAGTAAATATAGATTATCATTAGCCAAAAAATGAACCACTTATAACAATATTTGAATTAAAAGACAAACTGAACTTATTGTTTCCAAATGAACACAAATAACCTAATTTGTCCAAATAAGAAACTGAAACCAAATTCCGTCTAAAAGACGGCACGACAAAAAATGTCTTTTAAATCTAAAAAATAAAAAATTAGTACACAATAATAATCTAAAATGTCCAATAGTATCCATCTCCACCGATTTGTCATTTTCAACGTATATCCATCTTTCAGAAACAGTTGGCTTCCGGTAATTTAGGCAACCCTTTCTTTTCACGCCAAGCATGATATTTAGCACATTGCTTCTTTACGTGTCCAGTCTTATTGCAAAAGAAACATTTGTTTTCTTGAGTTTGTTTCTTTTGTTCTGGACCTTTAGCAGCTTCCTTCTTAGGATCCTCCGATCTCTTTCTTTTTCCTTTAGCCTTAAAGGTGCTTGCAAAATGAGCACTTTCTGTCTTGTCTTGCTTTAGCCTTTCTTCTTCTTGTACACAATGTGAAATGAGTTCATTAAGAGACCATTTATCCTTCTGACAGTTGTAAGATACCTTAAACTAATTAAACGTTGCGGGAAGAGAAATCAACACCAAATGAATGAGCAAGTCTTCTGAGAGTTTGAGCTTTAGTGCCTTGAGTTTAAAAACAATATTAGACATGCTCATAATGTACTCCCTGATATTTCATTTGCCCTGATATTTCATGGAGATCAAGTTCTGAAGAAGAGTGCTTGCCTCCGCCTTATCACTTTTTGCAAAGCGCTGCTCCATTTCAGCAAGGAACTATTTGGCACTTGTGATATTTTCAGAAACAGTGTCCCTAAACACCTCTGGGATGCTGCGCTTAATGATCATTAGACTCATGCGATTTGAGCGATCCCACTTTTCATAATCTCTTTTCTGTTCAGAGGTACTAGAATCTGTAGGAACAGGGGGTTGCTCAGTCCTTAACGCAAGATCCATATCCATGCAGCCAAGAATAATATCAATGTTCTCTTTCCAGTCCTTAAAATTTGTTCCATTGAGGACCGGAACAAAATTTAAATTGGCAGATACGAAGCAATTGTAGTTGGATTAGAACAAAAGAAATAAACTAATTATGCTCACATTATAAAATAAATAATTATAAATAAAATATATATTCAAATAATGGTTTAACCCATCTCAAGACACCCAATGCACCATCAATATCCAGTCTTTGGACAATAATATTAACTGCTAGAGGTATCTTGTTGTAATAATCAAACATTGACAATAAAGCACGTCCAACAACAAATCAGTCTTTGGATTGATTTATCATCGACAAAGCAAATCTTTATAATTATCACATGTTTATCATTACAAGTGTATATGCAATTCGGCCAAATATTAATCTTTCTTTGGGCCGACTAATACTCGCATGAATATACACAAACACTAACATTTAATATTTTTCACGAACTACCCAATTCAAGAGATGTTACTTTGGTAACTTCTTGACTCAATTTGCTCACAAAAATATTAAACTATCAAACAAATTGAATATATTAATAAGGGTAACCCTAAACCAAATTTATATAATTATTTATTTATTAAAAAAAATTACAATGGCACGGAATCCACCACTGCCATTCATAAAACAAGTATTTTCCTATTATACCTAAAGTACCAGAAATTGAATACACTGACAGGGATCCAGAATCTAAAACCATAAAACAACGTTGGAAGAGCATCTCTTCTGTATTTTTCCGGAAGCTCAGAGAGCCTCCCTTGCCATAAATTGTTCCATGCAAAAACAACACCAATTACACATGGACCTAATACAATCTGGTTTAGTAAAACCTTGAACATTAGATTATGGACCGTCGGTTTGGGGAGAAAGTGGTCAAGACACTGATACCAGGCATAAGAACCAGGGCCATACAAAAGGAATCCATACGAAGTCATTCGCAGGGTACACAACCAATCATGGTCTGAAAGGTGGCTCCACAACTCATCCTGTAACAACCCTGAGAGACACTGCCACCACCCTCCTTCGCTTTCCTCCAATGGTTGCTGAGCTAAGCAATTGTGTCGCCGGTGAGGGCAAGGGAGGCAGCAGTCACCGCTTGCTTCACCGGAAACCGGTAGCCACCTCCGCCGATTGCACCCGTCGAACCCGAAGTGTGGTGAATACGACACCGTCGAGACTGCGATAGTGGATTCCACTTCCACAGCCCCCAGCACCCACTCCCGATAACGTCCATCTTGTTACAACAGCAAATCATCTGCCTCACACCAAGAGTGAAAGTAAGGAGAGCATGTTCACGAGTCTGTCCATCCTTAGAAATACCAGCTTCAAAACCACCGGTAGTGGAATCGATAATAAGAACAACACAATCAGCTTGGGATGTCCCAGTAATCATATTCTTAATGAAATCCCTGTGTCCGGGGGCATCAATGACTATGCAGTAGTACTTGGTGGTCTCAAACTTCCAGAGGGCAATATCAATGGTGATTCCTCTTTCTCGTTCAGCCTTGAGCTTGTCAAGCACCCAGGCATACTCGAAAGACCTCTTGTTCATCTCAACAACTTCTTTCTCGAATCTTCCACGAGGGTTCCCCGGCGCACATTAGCCACAACCACAATCTCTCCCTTCGATGTGCAAATCCAAGAAGAGCACCACTGCGGTACAACCCCGAACCAGAAGAAATACCAACGACACCAACACAAACATGGCCAATTCCCCTCGTCCGCACCGAATGCGAACCCTAACATCGTTGTCATCGAACTACGATACCACCACCAGCGTTGTCCCAATCACATAATCAAGAAGCTACGTATTCGTTGAGTGAGGGGTTAAGAATTGGACCTGTTGGCGCCACTGCCATATGGCCGCAGGCCCAAATCCGTGGATGAGAACGACAGAAGGCTTTTGGGACGTTGGATTGGTGGGGGCCCAAAAAAATGAAGTGTGGTTTGGTGATCGTTACAGAGAAGTGGGATTTGGTGATCGATGTGGAGCATGTGCGAGGAGAGGCCCGCGCCCGTGAAGCATCATCGGAGGTAGAGGCCGTAAACGCAGAGAGCGCATCTCCTTCTTTTTTTTTTCTCCTCGATTAGGGTTTTCAGAACCAACTTCACCAAAGCTGAATTAGCCAAAACCATCAGGTGCAACAGGCCCATAGGATAACCCATCACCGTGCCTTTAAACCCAGCAACTCCCTTTCCCAACCACACCGGAGGCACGTCACGCGGCCTTCTCCAATTCCGCGTGTTGAGCCAACAGCTACATCGTCTCCGGATAATGCCACACGCGGGCGGAATAGAGAATTGGGTTTTAAGAAACCCTAGGATTCTCAATTTTTGGGGTTTTTTATTTAGGGATTAAGGGTTTCATAAATTAATCTCAATTCTTAAATATTTCCTAAGAAAAACATGAATCAAGTATGGGTTGCTATGATACCACTTGTTAGGTAAACTGTAATTAAATATGATATTCATTCTAATGATCAAACATATATCTATAATCCCATATTGTAAACATGTTATAAACTAAATGTGAAAGCGTACCTGAATTGGCCATAATGACGATATTCTTTGTAGAGCACTTTTGATTTGATCTTAAGGTCTTCCACCTGAAGAACACCTGTATTTCCCTCTTGATTTTCTTTCTTGATGGGGATAGAAAGAAAAGAACGGGACTGTAACTTCGTTCTGTCTGTGTGCTCTCAGAAGGGGACCATGACCCTTTATATAACCAAAATTAGGTTAATTACTTAAGTTTTAGTATTTTCAATTTGGCCCCTCATCAAATTAGAAATTACGCTATGGCCTCTACACAATCATATTTTCATGACATATGCCTTTAGCCAAAACTTTAATTTATTTATATCACTTTATTATTTGGCTTAATAAATAATGACCATAACACATTTAAATATGTTTCATATATATACATGACCCAAAATTTGCCAACATCATGTAAAAATGTTTTCCTTACATTGACACCTATAATTAATTTTATTTATTTATTGGATAATTAATACATTGTGAAAACGAATAATTTATCTCGATCTAATTTATATAATTAGTTATATGTCAAATAAATTAAACAAGATATTCATTTACAATGAAGTAAGAGGTAAATTTTTATTTTTTATTTTTATAACTTATTTTATAATAATATTATAGTTTATGAAAATATGTCTATGACAATTACTTAAAAATATAAAATATTTATAAATTTTATCAATAATTAGTAATTTTATAATATTTTTCATTTATAAATTTTGAATTTAAAACCTTAATTATAAAATTAAATCAAATTTTAATCTATATATGTATAAAAATAAATTTCTTTATAATTATTTTTTATCGGATAGAGAAAAAATGTAATTTATATATTATAATTTTTTTATATTTTTTAATTATATGTTTCCTTCGATCCTTTCATTCGAATATAAAATAATAATAAAATGTTACTTTTTATCTACTCTTTCAATTATAGGATTTTAAAATTTCTCTCCTTTCTTAAGACTTTAATAAAATTTTATTAATTTTTCAACAATTCATAATTTCTATAACTATTAATATTTTAAAATTATTATATACATTAAATTTTAATAAATTAAAATAAAATATAATAAAAAAATTTAGTATATATAAAAAAAATTCTCTTTTTTAACTCTATTATAAGAGAAAGAAAAATAACAAATAAAAAAAATACAAGTAGTGGAGAAAGAAAGAAAGAAAAAATTATTAAAAATATTTATATATTTAAAGAATAAAAAAGAGAAAAAATATATAAAAATAATATATATAAATATAAGAATTCATTTCAAAACTATTTTGTGTTATGGGAAGAAAAAAATGCTATATGTTATTATTTATATATTTAAAAAATTAAAAGTAAGAGGAGAGAAAAAAATGATATAATATAATAAGTGAAAGAAAAAACATAAATACATCTAAAGAGTATATTATAAACATTTAAGTTTTTTAAAAATAATTGATTTAGAAGTACAAATATAAATAAAATCTGATTATAAAAATATATCTAAAATATTTTTCATAGAATAATTTTTTATTAAATAAATATATTTTTCTTATAACTAAACATAAATAAGAATCCACTTTTTTTTAATGCCTAAATTTATAATATATATATTATTTATTTATTTTTTTATCGTAAACTTATTATATACACTACGCCATAAGAATTGGACACAAGGGAATGTAATTGATTTTGTGAGGTAAGAAAGGAAGGACCCCATAGCACGCACGCACAACACTATCCTCTCCTTTCTCTTCTCCTTTCCTTCACTTTACTTCTTGCATCCAATTCCAATTCTCCCACTTTTCTCCAATTCATTTTTCTCAAACCAAATTAATATAGCAACTTTCGCAACCCTATACACAATCAAATCATATATTGATTTGCCAACCCCAATTCCCCTTTTGGATTGAAACAATGGGTTTGGAGGCTTAGTTTTGGAAGGATGAAGATGATCCCTTGGGGTGGTCTCAGTTGCTGTTTGAGTGCTGCTGCTCTTTACCTTCTCGGCAGAAGCAGTGGCAGGTATACACCCATTGCTCTTTACCTTCTCCGTTTGCGTTGTCCCATTCTAGAACAACATACACACAATTTTTTTAATGTGACAGGGATGCGGAAATTCTTAAATCCGTCACGAGGGTCAATCAGTTGAAGGAACTAGGTTTGTGTCTTATCGGGAACTGAAACCTCTATTGTCCGCATATTTGGTTTATGCTTGCTGACTGTTTACTTGTGCAATTTTAAATTGTGTTATTGTTGCTATTAATAACATGATTGGGTCACTGATCGATTAATGCATGTTACTTGTGATTTCATAAATAACTGTTGGATGTAACAGTATCTAGTTTTCATAATTTGTTTGCCAATGAACATTGCTTTTGTTGGATATCCCACATTTACAAGACATGACCAAAATTGTGTATACAAGTGCGGGATTACTCACTCTATGTTGGGGTTGAGTTTGATTTAAACTCAAATTTTAAGATGATACCAAAGCCTATCTCAGTATTATTGTTAGGCCAGTCGGGACATCCATTATGAGGTTGTTATTGAATCATACACAGTTGTCCAGCTTTGCAAACGTAAATTTACCTATATTAGTATTTATTTTTAGGCCCAAACCTAAATTTTCACAGAGGGTTGTTTCAAATGTTTTGTTAGCTGAATTCCAAGCAAGTTGATCCTATTGTATCTTAGGAAAGTGTCAGTTGCTCGAGATTGACCTTATTTGGCCCGCTGATAATTATTTGTCTTGGTATGTTCACCCTTCTTGCTGTGCTATTTGTTGCAAGATACTTTTTAGTTATCATTTTGGTAACAATGATTTTTGCATTTTACATTCATTTTTGCTAGACACATTTCATATGATACTGGCCTCCTTGATATGTATTCCAATTAGTTCTTGGTACTGGAAGTAATATTGATTTACTCTTATTTGGTGCAGAATAGACGAGCTTATATGTTCTTTCATTGCTTTAGAGTTTACTACTTGATAATTTGTGATGTCATGGTTTGGTTTCTGATCATGCTTGGGATTCCTCACTTTTCAGCACAACTGTTAGATGCAGAAATATTACCCTTGATTGTTACAATTTCTGGAAGAGTTGGCTCTGAAACCCCAATTAACTGCGAGTTCAGTGGTTTAAGAGGTGTAATAGTTGAAGAAACAGTATGTATACATAAACCATGAATATTTCCATTTTATCAGGGCATTGCTTATGTCATCTTAGTCCCTTGTGATTAATATTAAACATGTTTTACAATTTTTCTTTTAGGCAGAACAACATTTTCTTAAACACAATGATGCTGGTTCCTGGATACAAGATTCTGCTTTAATGCTATCAATGAGTAAAGAGGTTCCTTGGTATCTGGTGAGCATTTTGCTCCTGCTGAGTCGGTTCCTATAATAATTTTTTTTTCTTTAACTTTAAGTTATCGTTTTATTTCTTAGCAGACTGATAGGAATTTTGTTTCCTACAGTCAATATTTAAGCTTATCAAGTGAACACTCCTCTCCCACTAATATATATATATATATATATATATATATGAATGAAATGAAAACCAAATTCACTTGAAGTAAATATTTAGGATCACAGTGCCTTTGTCTTTATATATTAGGATGATGGGAGTGATCGTGTGCATGTGGTTGGAGCTCGGGGTGCCACTGGTTTTGCATTACCTGTTGGAAGTGAGGCATTTGAAGAGTCGGGTCGGTCACTTGTACGTGGAACATTGGATTATCTCCAAGGTCTCAAGGTGGGAGGGAGCCTTTTCACCTATCCAATCCTTTCTGCTCCTCTCGCTTCAAAATAGAAGAGAAATTGAAGCATTTGAGTTACTTATTTTTAAACTGACATAATTGAATCATGCTTTTAGATGCTTGGGGTCAAGAGAATTGAACGGGTACTTCCAATTGGAACTTCCTTGACTGTTGTTGGTGAGGTAATGTAATTAATTTCAAGAATACGGCTAGTTACTTTCTCAAGAGTCAAGAGTGTCTTATATTAAGAAGTTTCATTATAATTGGTATTAGCAGTGTTGCAGAGTATATAGGTAATGCTAAAACATATTGCAGGGGTATTACCTGCCCTGCAATATTCGCAGGAACAATTATTTCACTAAACACGTGCTTCTGTGATTTCTTATAGATAATTTGATACATTTAAAGTGAAATGAACTCTACTTTACAAGTTTTCTAATTCTGATCATAGGCGTTGTTGTTTATCACAAAATCAAACACATTACAGCTTGTATTAGGATAAAAAACTATATTCCAAAGAAAAAGGGATTTCCATTTCTATTTTTATTCGAGTACTTCTGTTCTATTTTCAATTTATCAACTCTGCTGCATTCCTGTGCCTATTAGATAGTATTCCTTTACTGTTTTAATTTTTTAAAATTTAATTTCTAACCATATCATCAGGCTGCTAAAGATGATGTTGGGTCCATTCGAATTCAGCGACCCCACAAAGGGCCATTTTATGTTTCTCCCAAAACGATTGATCAACTTATTGCAAATCTGGGGAAATGGGCAAGGTTGCTTTACAAATATCTGGATGTCTATTGAGTGTTTTGGTGCACCTGATTTTTTTTATTGACGAAATTTTTTTATTAGGTGGTATAAGTATGCTTCTATGGGCTTGACAGTGTTTGGTGCTTATCTGATAGCCAAGCATGCTATTCGGTACATATTGGAAAGACGGCGCCGGAACGAAATACAAAGAAGGTACACATCACTAGTGATTCTTCTCATTAGTGGTAAAAAAACAAATACCATGTAAAGCTTTTAATTAGGAAAAGTTGTTTTAATTGTAAAGAGTTCACCTCTCAATTTTAATGGGAAGTATTGCCATTGTTTAATATTGGTATGCACTTGTTTTATTCGTAATCAATCTAACAATTTTATCCAGGGTTCTTGCTGCAGCTGCGAAAAAGTCGGGACCAAATAATGATGGTAAATTTTCATGGCTCAATTATATTTATGTTTGCAACGCCTATTTCAATAGTTACCATAAATTTGTGGTTCTTTTTCAGTTGAAAAGGCCGACAGCTTATCAGATGGTACTAAAAGGGATCGCTTAATGCCAGATTTGTGCGTCATATGCCTCGAGCAGGAATATAATGCTGTTTTTGTTCCGTAAGTTGTCAATCTCATCCTCTTTATTCTGCAGTCAATACTTTGTCTGTTATATGTTTTTCTTCATACGAAAACTTGCTATTATAAAAGCAGTAGCACTGAGATTACAACCAATCTTCCACTGTTATTTATTCCATCAATAGAAGCTATCTTAACCATTTCTTAATTATGTTTATTAACTATAATAAACTTGAAGAATAAAAGCTTATTCATCCTAAATGATTCAAAACAATGTGTGCTGGCCAATTGTTAGTCATATTTGAATATTAAATCCGGTCCAAGTTTTACAGGCAAAAAAAAAAAAATCGGAAATTGCAGAAAACGTTTCCCTTCAGTTAACCTCAACCCAGTGTTCTCTGTGAAAGTTCTTTAATATTATTTGTATTATATGCTTCAACCCTACCTCAATCCCCCACCACCCAAAACCTACAATCACCCAAACTGATATGTTCAAAAGCATAGTTATCAATTTAATTCCATACTCTATTGAAAAAACCCTAAGTTCTATGTTATGTTGTCAGGTGTGGCCATATGTGTTGCTGTACAGCTTGTTCTTCACACTTGACCAATTGTCCTCTTTGCCGGCGACAGATAGAGAAGGTTGTAAAGACTTTCCGTCATTGAGTACGAGCATACATGGAAGAAATCCACCTGTTAAGATACATTTTTTACAGGCTTTGCCTGTGAGCAATTATGAAACCAACGGCCCTTACTGAAATAGCTACACGGTGATGCTTTTGGCATAAAAACTTGTAAATAGTTATATTTCTGTCTGTTGTAGAACTTTATTTTCTCATAGGTTGCATTCTGCTTTTTGTTGAATGTTTCGCTTCAGATTTAGTATTACTATGGAGTGAAAACAATTTGTTAATCGTATCTGGTTGGTATTGTATTATTGTCTCTGTGATTACTATTTTATCCTTTAGTTTTAAAATCGAATCAATCTTTGAACCATGATAGAGATGAGTTTAAGATTAAAAAATTGAGTTCAGTCAAATAGTATATATATATATGTATGTAATTACAAGTTTTTTTTAATAGCTATTATATTTATTTTGAAAAGTGTTGTTATTACCGTCCAAAGTTCAGGCCAGGTACAAAAAATATAATAAAGAGGAAAGGACAGTAAATTGTGACGGTAAGAAAAAAGTCCATGGAGAAACAATTATTTATTATCCATCGACTCATGTGATTGTCATGTTACAGAAGAAAAAAAATTAACTTTAAAAAAATTAAAAATATGAGCATTTTAAAAATAAATTATAACATTATATAATTTTTATCTAAATAGGTGTAACTACTCTGATTTTGTAAAAAATGTCTGCTAGAGCGGGTTCTAGAATGTGTTAGCATTCTAGATAGATTAGTATATTATCCAAGAGTATATTATTAATGTTGCATGCTGTTAAATTAAACTAATTTGTAGAAGTTGTTTATACTGTTTCTTTAAATTTTTATTTTGATATTAATTAATTTTAATTTATGAATAATTTAATTTTTTTAAAGTTATTTTTAAAAATTTAATACAAATTTGCATATAACCCATTGTGTCTCCTATCAAATAATATATATATATATATATATATATATATATATATATATATATAATTTTTTAAAATTAAATAAAATTATTTTTATAAATATAAATATTTTTTGTTTTTTATTCTTTTAATTTTTATTTGTAATAAATATCATATTTATTGTTTTAGATAATTTTTCACTCATTTTTTTTATCTTCAAATTTTTATCTTTCTTTTTACACTTTTTTTATTTTTCTACTTTAATTGTTACAACATAAAAAATTTCATATTTCAACATAAAAATTGTACGTTTTTTCTTTAGTTTTTAATTTTTTATAGTTTTATCTCTATAACATAAAAATTTAATTTTTTTATTATTTAGTATTTTTTTTATCTTATATTCAGAAAAACATAAAAAAATATCTTATAGTAATTTATTTGAAATAAAAAATAATAAACAAATTTTCTTATTTTTTATTATTTTAATTTATTATTATAACAAATATAATATACAAATATGAAAAATTAATACAAATTTTTTTATTTATTATAAATTAGGTAGTTATTTTAAGATTTTATGATGTTTTATTTTGATGTTACGATGTGAAATAAAAATTAATTTAAATTTTAAAAATAAAATTATAGATATTTTTTAAAAGAAAAAAAAAGAAACTTTATTTTCTAAATTTATATTTAATTAATAATATTTAATATATAATATATATTTATTTTTAGATAATAATTAATTTTTATATATTTATCCGCACATCTAAAATGTCTCACTTCCTCTCCCATGTGAATCTGACGTGTGCCAACATTCGATGACTACGTGAGTTTAGTTTGTGTGCTTTATCTTCTACGATGGGTATAAAGGAAATGAAAAAGGGTTCTTTGCGGTGTTGATTTGAACAAAATTGATGGTGCCACTGTGGACAGGGTTTGGAAATTTGGAATATATCCTCGATTCTGTAAAGAATGGTAAGAAACGTTCATCAATGATGAAAGGAATGAACGGTAAATTATAGGGAATCTTTGTTTTGTGGAGTGGAAAATTATGAAGTTGTTGGGTTTAGAATAAAGGAATAAAACTATATTTTAGGTCAATAATGTGAGGTTATTTTCTTAAGAATTCCAACTCTGATCATAAGTGGTCATCTTTCTCTCTTGAAGGGCTTGACCAGTTGAAATATTTCCTTTCTACGTTGGCCCGACAAACCGTGGGATTGTTATCATAGCTAGGTTAGGTGTGTTCCAGAATCTGGCTACTGCTCACAAATAGTGTAATTAAAAAAATTGAGAGTATCAAAATTTTAAACATAAAAAGTAATTAAATTTTTTTTAGAAAAACGTAGCCATCTTAACACTAATAAAATATCAGTCTCCACTATTTAGAAATGTTATATTTATCAATTACTAAAATATTATCTATTAGTACATTATAATCCTAACTTTTAACATTAAAAGTTATAGACAAACTAAAATAATGTATAGAAGTGTAAGATAATCAGTGAAAGCTAGACACATATTGTAATATTCAGCATTACCTTCAAGCAATCCAATTATTAATTAGACTTTAAATCAGCAATTTTAGCACGAGTAGAATCCTTTTCAATGCCATGTTATTTAAACTTCAATTTTATTAATTGGGTTGGATTGGATGCAAAGAATTGATCCATTACGGTATGCATGTAAAATTGTAGGCGCAGCCTAATCTTTAAGCACGACATTCAGAAAACTTAAAATGATGAACAAGCACTTAAGACAAAAACTCTTAAAGAATTTCCGCGTGTTGTCTTCAGATTCTTCTTATAAATCGGAATAGGATTCTAGTTGGTTCAAGAAACAATAATACATATTCTAATAGTATCATATAATGGATTTTTTTTGTTTTTGTTTTAACATCATGGATACTTTTTCTTTATCATTTGGTGTTGCGTTACGCAAACACTGGGTTTTAATCTGATGATTGGACGTCATTTTTTCACCAAAAGGCCAGTATTAATCTTCACATTCAAATGGACCATGTAGAATCACGTTTCCTGCGAAGGAAGCTTAACATGATTCTTCTACTTGGAGACAATTGAATCCTATACCATTCACCAGGTGCATATGCTCACTCATGTCAGCTATCAATTTCAAATTTCTTGCTTCTTTTTCTCCTTTTCTAAGCTGTCAAATATGCCAATAAGGACATAGCATGGTGCGTTGGTTCTACTAGTTTGTTTCAGCTCTATGTGGATACATAATAATTAATAGGGTGACAAGAAAGTGGGAATTGATCCCTGCCATGGAAATTAAGAAAAAGCAACCTCATTAGTAGCTTGGCTAGCTGTTACGAATCTTATCCTAATGGTTTCTTCAATTACAATTGGTTCCCACATAGGATCACATTTCAAAAAGAAGAAATATATGCATTTATTTTCTCAAATATCTCTGCTTTTCATCTTTCCTTTCCACACTCAAACTTTTAAAACATCAATACAAATATCCCTGCAGTGTTGCACCACCCCACAGTATTCTGACCTTAACCCCATTTGAGTATCAAATAATGGACAAAAACAATGGCTCAAACTCTTCTGTGTGCGACAAAATCCGTCAAGCACTTGCAAGCAACCCTGCTGTTCGAGCCGTTCAACGCATCACAAGCTTCAATCAAGATCCTAAACCCCTCACCAAACATCCAAAAACACCTTCATCCATCACTAATATTCCTATCCAAAACAAACCTCATTCAAACCATAAAGCTCACAAAGAAGGATCTGGGTCAGAAACAATTCCCATAAAGTTTGATCACTCAACCCCTAAGTTGAGTAATGGAAGCTCAGCAGTCTCAAGTGCAGCAAAAGGTTCAGAAAGAGCTACCAAAGTGGTTGTTAAAGGTGAACCTCATCCACAGCATGTTCCCATGCAAGGGTATAAACAACATGGTCATCATGGGGTGCACACAGAATCAACACTCGGTAAGAAACCAATGGATATTAATGACCATTTCAAAGATTTCATTCAACAGACCAGGGAGAAAATGATGAGAAGCATGACGAACATTGGTTTTGGTCAGAGCAACCATGCGGCTGCAGCAGATCAAGAGCCTCAACATGGTGCCAACAAAAACGAAAGCCATTTTTCGGACTTTATTCAGCGTGCTAGGAAGAAGCTCAGAACTACAACAACTGCCCGAAAGAATAATTACACGAAGAAAGAGTGAGATTCTGAATATTGAAAAAGTTTGATCAGTATTTCTGGTATGGTGTGGTGTGGTAAAGTATTGTGCATCTAATCTTGGTTGTGGTTCATAAAAATAAGGTTCCCTTATGAGGGTCTGCAAGCATGATATTTCTTTCCAATATATATATATTTCTCTACTATATACTATATACTATATACTATATGTTGATGTCTTAATATATTAATCTATATTTTGGTCTTGATCTTTTCTTTGATTTCTTTCTCTTTTACTTATTTCTGCTGTAATACTTTGTAATTTCGAATTTTCTAGTGTGCATATGCATAATGCGGCTCGTCTCAAAATTATTGGAGTGACATGAAATGCACGCGTTATTTCTAACGTGCTCTTTTACTATATATGAATTAAAATTTATGAACAATTACAGATTTATGTTAATAGTGTACGTTATCCATTATAATAATTTGTTAATGAAGATACGAGACATTCTTAAAATTTACTACTTTCTATGCAAAAATAGGAAGTTGCATCGCAGTATGCTTTTTGAATTGAACATTTTTACAAGAGTTGTTTGAAGCAAGGTGTCGGCACAGAAATGATGGTATATAAGAAAGAATGCAAATAGAACCTGTTCTAGATCATTTGAAACCAATATCAATAGTTGGAAACTCTCTGTACCAAGCATGTTCCTTTTCTTCCCTAACAATTTTTATGAGTAATATCACCTAATATAAAAGATGTCACTAATTTAATAAATTTGATCAGATTTAAATAGTTTATTGAATGAAATAAAGTGATAAGAACTACCGCGTAGAAGTTAATTCAAATGACATATATGATTGTGTTTCTATAAAAGAAAACTAAAAAAGCAAACTGACACACACGATATGTTCTTGTGTACAGCTGGACAGTGAAGCTTGCATAGCTGACATGGTTAGAGGTTGTTAGGTAAACATTAAATGCATGTAGTTGAGAGGTAGTGGTTATAGAGGTAGTAGTTGAGAGGTAATTGTTGTATTGAATGTATGTAGTTGAAAGGTAGTAGTTGTATTAAATGCATGTAGTTGAGAGGTCATATCCAAAGGGCCTATAAATTGACTATGCATCACTCATTGCAAATACATCAAGTGATAATATACAGAGTGCTTTATTTAGATACTTGTTTGTCTACAAATTGGCATCAGAGCTTGAGAGTTTGAGTGTCTGAGTGCGTTAGAGAGAGTGTTTGAGAGTTAGAGAGTTTGTTTGAGATGACCAACTTAGCTAACAACATGCCCCTACCAAAGTTATCAAAAGGCGTAAGCTATGATAACTGGAGCCTGCAAATGAAGGCTCTCCTTGGTTCCCAAGAAGTATGGGATGTGGTCGAAAATGGGCACCAAGAACCAGAGAATATTGAAGAGCAGACGATTGCTCAGCTTGCTGCATTGAGAGGAACACGAGTAAAGGACAAAACGGCTTTGTACGTACTGTACCGAGCTGTTGATGAGTCCGGCTTTGAGAAGATAGCAAATGCTAAATCTTCAAAAGAAGCGTGGGATATTCTGGAGAAGGCATATAAAGGGGATAATCGCGTGAAGCAAGTCAGACTTCAAACTCTTAGAGGCGAGCTTGAAAGCATGAGGATGAAAGAGGTCGAAGGGGTTGCCGAGTACATCTCCCGTGTTGAGACCGTGGTGAATCAACTCGGAAGAAATGGAGAGACGCTGCCCACTTGCCGAGTGGTGGAGAAAATCTTAAGGTCATTAACTGACGATTTTGAGAATATCGTTTGTGCAATAGAAGAGTCCAAGGACTTGTCGGTGCTCTCGGTGGAAGAGCTTGCCGGGTCGCTTGAAGCGCATGAGCAGCGGAGAAGGAAGAAGAAAGAGGAGTCCCTTGATCAAGCACTCCAAGCAAAGGCAACCTTAAAGGAGAAGAAGGTTCCTTATGCTCAGAACACTCAAGGCCGAGGTGGTAGAGGCAGAGGAGAATATGAAAGAGGCAAGGAGCCAGTCAGTCAACAAAACTGGCGTGGCCGAAGACAAGGTAGAGGTCGTGACGGTAGAGGCCGAGGTGGTCAGTCAAGCAATTCCGGAGTTGAGTGCTTCAAATGTGGGAAGTACGGTCATTTTGCTAAGGACTGCTATTCAGGTATCAAATGTTATAATTGTGGGAAGGTTGGGCATTTCGCGAAGGACTGTCGATCTGAGAGGAAGAAGGAGACAAACCTCCTCTCTGAGGACACTGAGGAAGAAAGAGTATTGATGATGTCAAGAAGTTCGGATGTTGAGCTAAGTCCGAGTTGTTCTGACAACTCGGTTTGGTATCTTGATACAGGAGCAAGTAACCACATGTGCGGGGACGAAAACCTTTTTAAGGAGCTCACTAAAGTTGAGGTCGGACACGTGTCATTTGGAGATGCATCAAAGGTGGCAGTAAAAGGCAGAGGTACAATCTGGTACCTACAGAAGAATAGCCGAGTTGGAGAAATCAGAGACGTGTACTATGTACCCGATCTCAAAAGCAACATATTGAGTATGGGTCAGCTAATGGAGAAAGGCTACTCGGTTCTGATGAAAGACCGAGTACTATACCTGAAGGACAAGTCGGATCGTTTGATTGCCCGAGTAGAAATGAAGAAGAACAGAATGTATAAGTTGAACTTGAAGATAGTCCAAGAGAGGTGTTTGAAACTTGACGTGAAGGATGAAACAATGATGTGGCACTTTCGATTTGGCCACTTGCATTTTGGCGGACTGACTGAGTTGGTAAAGAAAGAGATGGTGCGAGGACTCCCGTCTATGGAATTTGAAAAGAAATTTTGTGAAGAGTGTGTGCTCGGGAAGCATCCGAGAACCTCATTTCCGAGGACGGCCGAGTACCGTGCAAAGGAACAACTCGGATTGATTCACACAGATCTTTGTGGACCGGTTACCCCTGAGTCCTTCAGTGGGAAAAGGTATTTCATTTCTTTTATAGATGATTTTTCAAGAAAAACCTGGGTATATTTTTTGAAGGAGAAATCCGAGGTGTTTGAGGTGTTCAAGAGATTTAAAGCAATGGTTGAGAAAGAGACTGACATGCCTATCAAATCTGTTAGGTCTGATCGAGGAGGCGAGTTCATTTCATCCGAACTCATGAAGTATTGCGAGGAGCAAGGGATAAGGAGATTTCTGACAGCACCATACTCACCCCAACAAAACGGAGTTGCCGAGAGGAAGAATCGAACCATTCTTGACATGGTTCGAACAATGTTGAGAAGCAAAAACGTGCCAAAGGAGTTCTGGGCAGAAGCAGTGCAATGTGCCATCTATGTGCAAAATAGATGTCCACATGCTAAGCTGAACGAGAAGACACCGCAAGAAGTTTGGAGTGGAAGAAAACCGAGTGTGTCTCACCTTAAAGTGTTCGGTAGCATAGCTTATGGTCATGTTCCAGCTCAACAGAGGACCAAGCTCGAAGATAGAAGCAAAAAGTACGTGTTTATTGGGTATGATGAAAAAACCAAGGCGTACAGGTTGTTTAACCCAATAACTAAGAAGGTCATCATGAGCCGAGATGTTCAAATTGATGAAGAAAGCGAGTGGAGTTGGAACAACCCAGAAAAGGAGTCCATAGGAAGTAGAAGCTCGGAAGTTGATACACCTCATACCGTGAGAGATCATGAGACTTCGATGAAGAAGATGAACCTCTACGACCCGTAGCGCGAAGTTTACAAGATATATACAACTCCACTGACGAAGTACATGTTGTATGTCTCTTGGCAGATTCAGAAGACTTAAGTTTTGAAGAGGCCGTGCAGGAGAAAAGGTGGAGAAAGGCAATGGATGAGGAGATCGGAGCAATAGAACGCAACAACACATGGGAGCTAACTGATTTGCCCAAAGGAGCACGACCTATCGGCGTAAAGTGGGTGTACAAGAAGAAGACAAATGCTGAAGGAGAAGTTGAGCGATATAAAGCTCGACTCGTAGTGAAGGGGTACAAGCAGAAGGAAGGAATAGACTATGACGAAGTATTCGCCCCGAGTGACGAGAATGGAAACAATTAGGTCGCCGATTTCCTTAGCGACTCAACACGAATGGACAATCTTGCGGATGGACGTGAAGTCGGCATTTCGAATGGAATCTTGGAGGAGGAAGTATATGTTGAACAGCCACTCGGATACATGCGAAGAGGCGAAGAGAAGAAAGTGCTGAGATTGAAGAAGGCACTTTATGGCTTGAAACAAGCTCCACGAGCATGGAATGAAAGAATTGACACTTACTTCAAAAGGAATGGATATGAGCAGTGTCCTTATGAACATGCTCTATATATAAAGAAGAAAGGAGAAGATGTGATGTTTGTTGCCCTATATGTTGATGATCTTATCTTCATGGGGAATAATGTCGAGCTAATTGAAGAGTTTAAAGAAGTGATGAAGAAGGAGTTTGAGATGACTCGACTTGGGTCTTATGAAGTATTTTCTTGGCTTAGAAGTTGTTCAGGGAAAGGATGACATCTTTGTGTCGCAGAAAGGTATGCTCGAGGAGATCTTGAAGAAGTTTAAGATGACAAGTTGCAACCCGGTTTCCACCCCTATGGAACCTGGTACAAAACTTTCTAAGTATGCAGATGGAGACCGAGTTGATGCGAGCAAATACCGAAGTCTCGATTGGAAGTCTTAGGTATCTTACAAATACCGTGACCGCATTTAATGCTAAGTGTTGGAATAGCAAGTCGATATATGGAGGAGCCAAGGTATACTCATTGGAAGGCACTAAAGAGAATTCTAAGGTATGTGAGAGGAACAAGTGTCACTTGGCCTAATGTATACTAGGATCGGATGATTATCGACTAGTAGGCTACTCTGATAGTGATCGGTGTGGAGATGTTGATGACCGGAAAAGCACGTCTGGATATGTATTCTTCATGGGAAACACAACGATTCACCTGGCTTTCAAAAAATCAGCCCATTGTAACGTTGTCAACTTGTGAAGCCGAGTACGTTGCAAAGATCCTGGAGTGTCTCGTCATGCAGTTTGGCTTAGAAACCTTCT